ATATATATTTTAAATGAATATTTTAAATGAATAGATAATATAATATTTAATTTTAATTTTAATAATATGTTTCTGTAAGTCATGGATATCTCTGCGCTATATAAGGTCCACMACCTCTATAGATTTCAAGCTGTATATCTATATTGAATCGAATTGTGTGTTTTTTTCAAATACCAACAATTTATTTATACACATTTAACGTAATCATGTCGATATTTGTATAGTTTTATAATATTTCAACTTATTTATACTACAGCATTGCATTACTGCATATAACATTAGGTATATGTACATAAAAGGCCTAAACTGAACGTTATTTATACCTACGCATTCTAATAATATTTTTGAGAATTAAAAAAAAAGGTACCGGTATACAGTTATTTTTACTAAAAACTCCAGTACATTAATATGATGAGTAAAAAAAATGACAATAAGTTATGCAATATACCTACAATATAAGCAGGTAGATATATAAAAGTACCTTTTACACGCAACATGTTCCATTTCTATTGATTAAGTATAATAATATGATTCTGTTAAGATTATTATTTTTCTCATTGAATTTCTGGTAAATTTCACTTGGTCAATATAATATAAAACCGTCGTCCCTTTAGATATAATTTGTAACATACTCGTATTTTATACTTAAGGTGAATAGTGGTGCAGAACCCCCAGTGGTGTACGATACGTACCGGTCGAAATTCTGCACGGGATGTACGGTTATATACGTGATATAATACAATTCCTATTATAATATTTATATCGGTACTACCTAAGTATATTCCTATATAGATTATACAGCAMTATATATGTATAAGGCGACGGGAGGCGTTGGATGTGCAGTATATAATAATACCAATAGTGGTGTGTGTAAGTTTCGGCAGCCGGCAGCATGTAAAGAAATAGTGACCCAATAAAAATTTGTCCTATAATAAGTTATATGTGTTAATATGTTATAGTTGGTAGGTACCTACTCGCAACGATATAATAACACGCATGTAGTAGGTAAATAAATGATTCTTGGCGTGCGGTAAAACATGCACCCATGTAATGAAAAAAAGGTGTTCCAGGGTATATTATATTGTCATTGAATATTATGATGCAATGCGCACACACGACTATTATTATTACATTATATGCTCTTCGGATCCCGTTTGAATGGAAAAAAAAGAAAAGAAAAAAGTCTGGTAACCATAAAACTTCTGTCCCATACAACATTCATGTCACAGTGTGTGTCCTCTATACCCACGGCGCACGTTAAGTAAATACCTATGTATAATATACGTCCGATTTCGGTCTCATCCTGATGTACCTTTTGTATATTACATATTGTTTATTTTTTTTTTAGGCCCTGCTTTGCGCAATATATTATGTGATAGTCCCGTTATAGGTTTTTCGTCCGACGTGTGCAATTTAAAACTCAATAATAAATAATTGTATGACAATATACGTGTTATAACTGTTGAAAATAATGTCGATTTGAATTCCTTAAGAAAAATAACAGATAACTATACACGTATGAAACATTTGCAGCATACCCACATTACGCATATTATATACATATAGGATTATACGAATACCGGATGTACCTAATTGTGCACACTGTATCATTTCGACTCTGGAAGCTTAATTTTATCCGTACAAAACACTAAGTACATTATATTTTGTATCATACTATTACTACATATCTATTGTATATATATATATATAGGCATAAGCGTGCGTAGGTATTCTTGGCAGGGGAGGCAATACTTTAGCTAAGGAGGTCCAGACTCCAATCCCCCCACCCGATTTTCACCAATTGGTAGATA